CGATTCGCGGATGACATAGAAGCTATTGTAGGCAGTGAAGACGAGTTGATAGTATTGGTAAATAGATTGAACAGAAAATCAACTATATACGGTATGGAAATCAATGCTGACAAGACAATGATCATGAACAACACCCCAAATGATATAGTGGGAGATATACGTTAAAATGACCGAAGATTGGAGGAAGTTCATTCATTCAAGTATTTTGACGCCATATTATCCAATGATGGAAATAAGCAAGAAATACTTGCGAGATGTGCCGAAACAACAACAGCACTCAGTAAACTAAGAAACATTTGGCACGACGGCAACACTTCTATTGGCACAAAAAATAAACTCATGCATTGGAAATGAGATGTCTACGGAGACTAGTACGGATTTCATACAGAAATCACATAACAAACGAGAAGTCTTGTAAAGGATCACTAATGTGTTTGGTTCCCTTTGAGTTTTACTGAGCATAGTAAAAACTAGACAATGGAGTTGGTATGGGCAATACTGCAAGGCCAAGGAGAGAAAAGAATGGGAAGACAAAGACGACTAGGTGGATGACATCAAAGATCGGACTGGCCTGCCTGTCTCAAAACTAATCAAAGTGGCAGAAGACAGAGATGGATGGCGGATAATTAAATGTGTATTCTCTTTGGTTTTTACTGATGTGTTTACAATCCTTTGTTATTTATGCACCAATCATTGTTTTTCTCTGTCTTCCGTAGGGGGAACATCTGAGAAATCGGAGGATGAATACAAGCTGGTCAAAAGGCAACATTTCATGCTCCGGCTCGGGAGAAGGGACGCTGAAGAACCTGCTGAGGACAACAAGGAATCTTTGAGCGATCAGCACGAGCTGAGCATCAAGAAACGATTTATAAAGGGAGGTATTTAATTGTGTACCAATTCATGTGATCCAGATTTCTGAAAATGAATTTTAATTTATACCTTATGTTTGTGATCATTTAATAAAATAATAATTTGTCATTTTAATCGATTTACTGTTTAACAATACACATAAATGATAATAATTAGTCAATTAAAACATTCTCTTGCACAGAAAATCTTCAAAAAAGGAAATTAAAATTATAAAAAACTTCAGTTAAATCTTATTTTTGTATTTTTGTCCTACAAATGTCAACTATACATTTATTTTGAGTGCTTTTTTGGCAGAAAAATTGCGGATGACGGAATCAAAACTAACAGTTTCAGTACGGTGTCTTTCTATTGACAACAAGAAATTTCTGCAACTGATTTCGTTGTCTAACAAACGTTGACAGCAGTGTCTATAAATGCTTGTGCATATTGTCAATTTCTTGAAAAAAAAATCTCATACTTTCGTATTTGTAAATTTAGAGAAAAGCTGATGGTTTGGATATTCACCGTTCATTTAGATTGAACAACTAATATTTTTTTTTGGTCATAAGCGATAGTTTGTCGGGAATGTGCTATTTTATGGAGCGTCGTTTTATATAAGCAATGTCTAGGTAGGAGGTGAGGACAGCTGGTGTTTAAACTTAAGTGTGTATACGTGTTAGATATTTTGAACAAAAAATGAAGCTTGTGATGCAAAATTAGATCTTTATTTTTTATCTTGAAAACCAACAAGTAAGCAGTAAATTTGGGGGTCCCTAAATATCAGGGGACCCTGACTACAGCCCACGATCTTGCCTACGACCCTAAGTACATCACCGAATAGCATGCGATTAAAGTGATATCAAAGACATGAATACCTAGTGCAGCCCATTGTTTTCTACTAGCAAATAACAGGGAGACTAACGAACTGTTCATAGAAAGCATTGGATGTGAAATTATTGTAGTGAGATGTGTGATGGGCTCTGTGGGGTAGTGGGTTGTGGGTGAGGGGTAGTGGGTGGGTGGGTGGGTTTTAATGTATGTTGTCTAAGTTGTTGTGAGAGCGTGTGTTGACGTGTCGGTCAGGATTATGTGGGCTTTTGTCAAGGTGTGGTTCATGGTTTCGTGCGGGTGTGGAGAGAGGTGTTGTTGGGTTTGGATTACCTCGCGTGTCGATTACGCATGTGGTGTGATGTGTGGAGAGTCGTGTGTTTGTTGTGGGATGAATGTGAGGGTATGAGACATATTTGTTAGGCTTATTGGGGTGTGTCCTGTTGGTAACCTGATAGGTTGGAGGGTGGGAGGGGTGGTGAGGAGTTTGGTATGGGTTGGTTTTTTTTTAAACCGCTGATATAGAAAAATAAAGTGGGAGTGATCTCCCCTAAACTTTCTCAAATATTATTATATAACGTTACTAAGGTCGGAAACCGGCATGAGCATGTAAAAAATAAACTAGGCCTAATCCACCCGGAAACGTAGAATAATAATAAATAAAGCAAAATTCATTTTAAAATCCTCAGATAAACGAAAATGGTATTTTTTGTGTTGTTTCATAATTTCCGTTGACCGGAAGTGGTAATTTACTCTATTTCCGATTTCTCAAAAAATGCTTGTGAATTTATAAAGTACTAATAATATCCGCACTATTATGCACATTTTGTTTGGCGTTCACTTGGTGTACAATTCTTTTTTCTACGAAATTCAATTCTATATTATAAAAAGTTTAAGTAATTAAAAATGGATTTACAATATTGTCTATATCTCGAGTTGCTATCCCCTGTAGTGTTATATAAGAATATTCGAGAAAGTTTAGGGGAGATCACTCCCGGTTTATTTTTTAAATGTAGGCATAGTTGGTGCTAATAATCCACAGAATTGGTGTTATAGAAATAAATGTTGTAATTTTTTTTACTTTCTCGTATATACGAAGTATAGAGAAAGTCTTGTAATCCTGCAAAAAAAAAAAATCGAGATTTTTGCAAATCTCGACGTTTTGCATCTCACTGATACGGAAAAACATAATTTTGCAATCTTGTCCGTATGTCTGTGTGTCTGTGTGTGTGTGTGTGTGTGTGTCCGTGTGTAAACACGATAACTTGAGTACCGTTACAGCTAGGTTAATGAAATTTCATATATAAGTATTTAATCAAAATCGTAGATCCGTATTAACTTTTGAGCGATTTCCGATAACCGGAAGTGGTACTTTTTCTACTTTCAATTTTTCAAAAGCCTATAACTTGAGTACTATTTCAGATAGATAAATGAAATTTCATACGTAAGTAAAAGATCTAATTCTCTACCTTCTATTAAATTTTGAGTCATTTCCGTTGACTGGAAGTAGTACTTTACGCTACTTCCGATTTCTCAAAAAACTAATGTAAATTTTAAAAGTAATAATAATATTGCGCACTATTATGCGCTTTTTTATTTCGCGTTCACTTGGTGTGCAATTAATTTGTCTACGAGATTTTATTCTATTTTTAAAACTTTAAGTATTTAAAATGGATTAAAAATCATGTCTATAGCCCGAGTTCCCATCCCCTGTTATTTTATATAAGAATATTCGAGAAAGTTTAGGGGAGTTCACTCCCGGTTTATTTCGAAAACAAAAAAAAATTTAAAATGCGTTGCAAATAAGAAGATTTTTACTTTCTCGTATATACGAAGTAGGCCTACCTATAGAGATAGTCTTGTAATCGTGCAATAAAAAAAAATCGAGATTTTTACAAATCTCGACGTTTTACACCTCACTGATACGGAAAAAAATAATTTTGCAATCTTGTCCGTATGTCTGTGTGTGTCTGTCTGTCTGTCTGTCTGTGTGTCTGTGTGTAAGCACGATTACTTGAGTACCGTTACAGTTAGGTTGATGAAATTTCATATATAAGTATTTTATCAAAATCGTAGATCCGTATCAACTTTTGAGCGATTTCCGATAACCGGAAGTGGTACTTTTTTTACTTTGAATTTTTCAAAAGCCTATAACTTGAGTACTATTTCAGATAGATAAATGAAATTTCACATGTAAGTAAAAGATCTAATTCTCTGCCTTCTGTCAAATTTTGAGTAATTTCCGTTGACCGGAAGTAGTAATTTACGCTACTTCCGATTTCTCAAAAAACTAATGTAAATTTTGAAAGTACTAATAATATTGCGCACTATTATGCGCTTTTTTATTTGGCGTTCACTTGGTGTGCAATTAATTTGTCTACGAGATTTTATTCTATTTTTAAAACTTTAAGTATTTAAAATGGATTTTAAATCATGTCTATAGCCCGAGTTCCCATCTCCTGTTATTTTATATAAGAATATTCGAGAAAGTTTAGGGGAGATTACTCCCTGTTTATTTAAAAAATATTCACTTTGCATGTTCAATTATTTGAATACATTTCTGAAACCGGTTTATATTTTTTTAAATGCTAAATTTACTAGCATTTTTTCATTAAATGCTGAAGTTGGTAAAAATTGTTGAAAACAATCAAACTGCTTAATAATGTTTGTAAAGTTTAAATTTTAAAGATATTTTGATTTTACTAAAAAACAAAAAATATCCACGAATAATTTTATCAAGTTGCTAATAATATTAATTTTAGATGCAATACATGTCTAAGATATAATTTAAGTTGTTTCCCTTTAATCGGGGATTTTACAACACAAAAATATTCCAGTTTCAAGACCAGTGGTTCTTAACCTTTTAGAGGTACCCCGCCAGTTTCATGTGCGCATTCACTGGACCTTTTTTAAAAGTTCTATCGTCCGCACAAACAAAATTGGAGTCTAGTGTGAGTCTTGACTTTCGCCGAACCCCTGAGACTGACTCACTGAACCCATGGGGTTGTTCGAACCCAGGTTTAGAACCACTGTTCGTGAGTGACTTTTCCTGAAGTGTCGCTATTCAATATTGAAAGTTACAGAAGACAAAATTTAAGAAACAATTAGGTATATTTTGTAAGAATTTTATTACAATGTACAAATAAATTGCAAACATGCAAATAGACTGTTAAAATTCATTTTTAAAATTACTTTTTAAAACGTAAACTTTTTTTTTAAACTTAATACTTCATTGCGTTTGAGGAAATAATGAATAATAAGAAATACATGCACTTTTGTATATAAATACATGTTTAAGATACTTGACACTGAAGTAGAAAATATTGGCTGAGAACTGTAGTGTTATACAACAAAAACCAGTGCATAAAATGGCACTGAAACTGTCAAAAACATTGCAAAAAACAAACGGTCGACGCTTTCAGCGGAAACATTATTGACTTTAGTTTTAATGTAACAGATCATCTTCTCTTTCAATGAACACGACTCGTGGTTGTCTTTCTTTACACTAACGTTATCCTCAACACAAGCCATCGGAGTGACTGTTCCTGAAGTCGCTATTTTAGAATTTTTAGCATCCTTTCCGTCCGGAAGTAGTTTCTGCTCTTGACGATACTTGCGCATGACGTAAACAGTAGCGATAATAGATAGGATACCCTCGATAATAATGAAAGAAATGAATAGCATTATTCGGGGGATTTTTTCTGTCTTGGTGAGATTTCTCGGCATGGTGGAACTGTGAAAGGCGGAAATTCGAATACAATTTTATAATATTATATAAATCATATCAATAAACAGTCCGAATGCTTGTTGATTAGCCCTACATTTACATTTGTTGAGCTAGTTAAAACAATGCCCAAGCCTCAGTTGGCCTAATTTCCAAAAGACCTGGTTAAGTTGCCCTGAAGTTTTTTCGGCATTTATCCCTAATTAGTTTACAACTAATTACATTCTGCCAAAAACATTCTTTAACTGTCCGTAACCCGAGGGGTCGGCGTGGTCGAGTCGGTCAAGCTCATGGTTGCTAAATCGAAAAGTCTCGAGTTCGAACCCTCCGGGGACATCAACTGTTCTAGGAGAGACAACTCCTAAATTAAACAAATTAAACTGCCTTGCAGTTTGTTCTTGTTTGGACAAAAGCAAGAAGCAAATCCAAAAAGAAAAGATGGCGCATAACCTGTTGACACGTAATACTCAATTGTGTTGGTTGAATTTCTTCCAACACTAAAATTAAGAACGTAGACCGTATCTTACCTAGATTTCATGGTTTCATTCCCTTATCTAAGCTTCGATTCCCATTACGTCGTTTAAGTGCCCTTAGCTTAGTTTTAATTCGCTAATCCCAATCTAGATTCCATCTTATGATTTTAGAACCCTCATCTTAGCCTCTAAGCTGAGTGTACATGCACTTACCCCACGAAGCTCAAGAACAACGACGTGGACATGTAGATGGACACCATGAAGGACATCTTCTCCCCAGAGTCGGGCGGGATCCAGAACACGACCAGGGTCAGCAGTGACGTCACCACCATGGGGGTGACCACGCACAGGATGTAGTACAACGTGGCACGTCTGATGGACACGTACAACTTAACATAGGGTATATTGAGATTAGATGTTTTCACCTCGAACCTTTTGTCCAGCATGGCCCATTCGCCTTGAAGGGGTTCAATGTCAAGTTCAAGCACGGAATCGTTCAAGATGGAGGGCTGGACCAGAATGGTGACGCCGTCTCCGTTCAAACCCATGACGATGATACACGTCTGCGTGTCGAAGGGGTAGTAGGTGAGGTCAAAGTTGCAAAAGGTCGTGATCGAGGTCAGGAGTCGGTACACAATGACCCCGCTTGAGTTCAGCAGGACTGTGTTAGACTCTGGTAGCAGATAGTTCGTGCCACTGTCTGAGTCGATGTTGAGCACAAAAACTTCGGGGTGCCACAATCTGCAGGGAAACCAATGTACACACTAGATCACCCACGTTGATTTTTACTATAAGCTTGTGTGTAGTTTGCAATGTCTGTTTATTTGCTTGTTTGTGAGTTTTCGGTTAATCTTGTAACTCAATTTTAACCCACTTCTAATTCAGTGATTTCGTTAACACTTTTCAGATATATTCGTCTTCTACGACAATGTAATAATATCTAATTTTTAATCTTTTCAGACATCATATTAGTAATTAAAATTTAATTAAAAGCTTATTAAATTAAATAATTCAATAATAATAAATCGAACTTTCTATCAGCCAGCTGTTGACGATGAACTATTGGTCACAGTTCGTTGAATTCCAGCCTGAGAGACCGCGGACTAACAAGGCGAAGATAATTGTCTTTTAAAGATCGAAGCTACAAGTTTTTAAGTAAATATTTTTAGTTTTATACTAGACTTGCCCGAAACTGTGGGTTTCGGGGGTCATCCATAAGTGACATCACGTCTGTCACTTATCATCACAAAATAACCAGACCCTACATTCAAAAAGACGTTTTTTATCTTTAATTTTTTTCTTTAATTGAATTTGATATAGTGAAATAATGCAGTGGATGTGCGCATGATTGCTAGGCCAAAAGGCTTGAGTTGGGTTCTTTAGCTCGAGTTTATTGTAAGTGTATTGAGCTAACCCTGGTCAGATGCGTTCATAAGGGGTTAGGGAAATTAAAGATAATTGAGTATGTGCTGACCACACCATTAAAATACAAATGGGTATTGTGCATTGAAAAATGTAACTTGCATTTTACGACATTGAACACAAATTTTCTGGAATATCTGCAAGACAATCAGCCAGTAATAACAAAATCATATGTCACATACACGTAGAATTTACGAGAGTATTTTACGAATTTGTTTATTTATTCTACCTTTATTACTCCGAAGTTTTTTTAATAAATAATTATCATTAAAAAAGTTTTTAAAAACCCACGTTTTCTGATTGAACTAAAAAGTAGAAAATAAATGCTATACATCACAATAATGAAAGCGATCACTCTACTATAAGAAATGAAAAACGTGGGGCGCCGAAGTAAAAGTTTTTTATCGGTCATTGTTAATATAAGATGTAAAAGTTATATTACTATTGATTAGATAATACTATTGACTTTTATTAGGGAGCTTGTAGAGAGTCAACAGCATTAGAAACTGTAAGAAAATCACGGCGCCCCACGTTTTTCATCGCTTATAGTAGAGTGATCGCTTGCATTATTGTGATGTATAGCATTTATTTTCTACTTTTTAGTTCAATCAGAAAAAGTGGGTTTTTACAAGCTTTTATTTAACTCACTTCCTCGTCATTCTGTCTGTCGTCAGTCGTCAGTCTAGATAGAAACGCAGAGGTGAAAATTCGGACAGTTCTACTTGACAGTTGGCACGTGGGTCAAGACATGAAGACAATGCAATCTGAAACTAAATTTGACTTAATTGGATGCCTAATTAATTTTTTATTAATTAATTAAAATTTCGACCGAATTATTAGGCATGTCTAGCCAACCACACCACACGCGTCATCACGTTCAATAGCTGCGCCATCACGGTACGTTCAATAGCTGCGCCATCACGTTCAGTAGGCGCGCAATGGTTTTTAGTCATGTAACTCTATTGTAAATAAAACATGTAAAGTACTGAAAAAAAAATTCATAAAAAACGTTTTAATAACAAGCTTTTATGTAATGATGCACTAAAAAGTAGAAAATAAATTATACACTACTATTTAAATTACTATAAAGAAAAGCGTGGGTCTCTTCTCAAATATTAGTAAAGGTATCAAATAGGTACTAAAGTACTAAAGTGACCCACGCTTTTCTTTATAGTAATTTAAATAGTAGTGTATAATTTATTTTCTACTTTTTAGTGCATCATTACATAAAAGCTTGTTATTAAAACGTTTTTTATGGAATTTTTTTTTTAAACTTTTTTAATGATTATTATTTTCTACTTTTTAGTCTTTGTCTGTTTGTTTGCATTAAAATCTTGCTATCGATTTTATCTTTTCGCATTCACTTTTTTTTGGGGGGGTAAACGAAGACAACTCGTAAAAAACACGTGCCTTGAACCCGTGTCGAGTGGGTTAGCAATCGTGTGCCCAACCACTCGACCATATCGTCTCCTCCATACTGGCCACCAGTTGTTCCGGTAGTTTGTACACAAACACCGCGTGACCAAAAACTCAGTAAGCCAAAAGAGGGAGAGTACCGAACCTTGTTTTCATCAAATTACAATTACTGGGTTATGTCCCTTTTTCCCCACGTTTTTTGTACAAATATATAGCGGTCTAAAATGATCAATAAAATGTTTCCATGGATCAATTTAGTAATAATAATAATTGAATATTCTATTGTCATTGGAAACAAAGCTTCCCTGAAAATTTCAGCGCGCTAGCTAACTGGGAAGTGCCCGAAATTTTGATCGCAAGATTTGATTGGAGAACCAAACAAACAAACAAACAAAAAAACAAACAGACGCGAAAGCAAGTTAAAGAAAACGTGGGAAAAAGATGTTCGATCTTTCAAAAAACAAGTTAATAAAAAGTCTAGTGACAATTTAAGTGCAATTTCCTTAATTAACTTTTTGTGACCGAACGAATCACCCGTAGAGGTTTGCCCCCCATTTTCGTTTTCGTTTCTCTCCACACGAGCAGAGCTAGTCCCCGCCCCCTCGCGAGATCTGCGCGAGTCTGGCCAATGGCAGCGTGAAGTTACCTCTCACTAGCGACTGCCTCAGCCGGTGTGCTTGTGGTAGAAATATTTGTATATTCTTAGTAATCTTAGCCAATACAAATTAGAAAAAATTAATTATTTGTGACCGAACGAAAGGATATTTTTTAAAACTTTCTTCGGCAATATTGTTCTAAATTATGGCAGAAATCGATTGGTAAATGTTTCAAGTCGCTAAGTGGTCTGGTTGCCGAGATATGGGCCAAAAACTGCATTTTTTCGAGGTTTTTTGGCTTTTCCGGGAAATCCAGGAAGAAAATCCGGGAATTTTTTTGGCCTATGTTCATTCTCGGAACTTGCTTAACATATTTGCTTTTGGAACTAGTCCTCGATATTGCTTCGTTGAGGAGGAGATACGACTTAAAGACGACTTAAAGCTGCGGACACACATCCATTCATCCATTCATACATTCCCAGAAATGACGAGTTAATAAACGCAATTCTCCAGAATGGAAATTGCGCTAAAAATAATACAAGTATTTTAATAAATAATAGTAATACAGTTTATTAATGAGTTACAGTACTGAATACTTACAGCCCAGATGGTAAAGATACGAACGACCAATTGGAGTAATTCTGTGCGTCCCATGCTAGATCCTTGTCGTTCCAACTCATCTCAAAATAAAGCTGGGTCTCAATAGTCTGCTTGGATTCTAACACTTGCGATACCTAAGTATAAGAAAAGACATTTAGTTAATAAAGTCAAGTTGGGATATTGACAATTTATTGTTATTTTATGATCCGAAAATTGCCTTTTTTAAAGCAGAAAGTAAGTGTTTTATTAAATGTGAGGAACTATTTGTTTCCTATTTATTTGAATATTGACAGATTTATTAATTTAAAAATTAAACTAATCAAGCAAATAATTATCTTCCAGATTTTTTTCCTGGGGAGGGGGTATTTGAAACTTTAAGAGAGGCGGCAATTATAAAAATGGTTAAAATATATATTTACCAATCAATTTTTTTCTGCTTTGTCCGGGGGAGGGCGGTGCACCCACTCCCCGGTTTTAAAAAAGGCCAGAAAGAAACACAGCGCAACTCACAACCAACCTGCATTAAACTTACTCCAACTCGCACGTTGACGGTGCGGCCCGTGGGCAGGGAACTTAACTTGTTCTGTGTAACTTTTTGCTTGGCCAGGTCCTCGTACAGTCTGGCCAGTCCCTCACGCTCTGGACTCATGTCCTGGTACATGCCCGCACGTGCAGATGACCAGAGACTCACCAACAACAGCAGCACTGACACTGAAGTGCTCAACATTTTCATCATCTGTAAAAATGGATGGCGGAAATAATAGGAAAGTCCTGTTTGTAAAATAAATTTTAAAATGTGTGTTTTAATATTTAAACATATGTAGGGCTACATTATGCAAATTTTAAAAGAATTTTTATTTATTTCGCCCATAGTGGCGTTTGAGTTTTTGTTTTACCTATTCCAATAACAATAGCTATAAAAGAAAAGAAGAAAAAAATCTCCATTAAACACTACTTAAGTTTATAAAGTGGTTCGTGATGAAGGTTTTTGTTTAATAATCACTCTAATGCAAGATGTTAAGGAGTTTTATTAAGATTAAATCCACTTTAATATCCCGCATGAAATGAAGGTAGAGAATCGAGTCCAAGTCTACGAGTGCTTGCCCCTTGTAACCAGCACAATGTTTAACATCCTATGTGGCATAAAGTAGTTTTCCTATCATAAACTGATATCCTCTCCCAGAGGCGGAACTACAAGGACATGTGAGGGACCCAAGATGTTAAGGGGCCCACAGCCGAACGTAACATGAATTTAAAATTTAATTTTAAGAATTTTTTTTTCAACTTTGCATTGATAGTAAAACTACTTCAGCTATGAAAGAACTACCTATATTCAATGCTCCAAGCGCTGATGTTATTATTAAAGAGAAGACAAACTGAACATTAATGGCAGTGTGTGGCCTAACCATATATGCCACCAGCCGTCACATGTCACATTACCGTATATTACATAATAAACACGGCACACAAACTCCATCATTGCCACTTTCTTTGTATACAGCCACGGTGAGTAGGACAATGTTTACATAACGCTCGAGGTAATCACAAAACCAAGCGATAAAAGCGTTACTGCGCTTAACAACAAAGAAACGCGAATATGCGTTATCATCTAAGTATCTTCAGTGCGTGTTGTAATCACGATTAAAAGCTTTGTATTTTGTTGAATTAAGGTCTAATTTTTTGTTACACATTTTGTTTCTGTCCTACTGCGTCATCGTATTTGTAGAACAAACATGTTTTAATTTAAAAAATGAGCCCCTTTTGTTTATTTACCTCTCCAAATACGTGACACCATTAATGTTAACTTCACGGCAAGTTAAAATGAACAACCGCATACTGACCCAATTAGATAGAATTAATTGGTCGGTCTTTAATTTTTCAGTTTATAAATTATATGCCTTTCGTTACATCATAATGTGTGTTTGTGTCTCTGCTTTATTAAAGTGTAATTATGTGTAGGTATATCACAATGACCAACACTCTGACACATAGCCTACACAGTTTATTAGAGTTTAATTCTAAATTTACATTATATGTTGTGCTCTAGCTTATGATCTTCTTTCCTTTTTTACAAGGCTAATTTTGTCGTTCCTTTTATCAAGTAAGTATATAAAATATTCGTGTTATATTTCGGAATTTGGACAATTGACTTGTAATTTAGGTGTATATCACTATTATCACAGTCCTCTGTGGGACTACAACAGTAAATAATTTTTTTTTCGTTTCAGATTTCGACTTAGATTATACTTTTTTATAGTTCATGTTTTTCACCGCTGTGCTCAGCCTTGGCCTAGTGACCTTGATCGAAGCTGGGGTTAATGACCCGCTTGACCCGTCTCGTGAGGCCAAGGCCAGGCTCTATGATGACCTTGCTGAGAACCGGGTGTTGCAGAACAAACTGACCCCCCTCGCGCCTGGAGCTGTTGTCAACATGACATTCGGCGTCTCTTTAACCCAGGTGTGTGCTGGTTTTTTTTTAATTACAGTAGACATGGGCGCCCGGAAAAAATCAATGGGGGGGGGGGGGGGCGGGGTTCTAAAAGACGTCTCTCTTTTTTGACGATTTTTACCTCCCCCCCCCCCTCACCACCCCTCCCTATCGTGATACATCGTCAAAAAAAGTGAGGCCGCCGTCTCTAAAAGGACATCTCAATTCTGAACTCGATCAATTAATTAAACTATGACATTTTACATAAATGACTTTACCGAAATAACAGCTTAATTTCAGTTTGTTACACTTCTTTTTAAAATGCAAAAGTGTGTCCTTACATATCCTGAACCCCCCTCCCCTCATCACAAACATCTACCCCCCCCCCCCCCCCAAGAAATATACGCAACGGAAAAAAGTGCAAAAAAATGCACAACGGAAAAAAGCGCAAACAGAAAAAAGCCTTTGGGAACCCCCCCCCCCCCCCACCCCCCCCCCACACACACACACACCATCCTCACTAGGAGTATGACGACTTTCATTTACGACCACATGTAGAAGAGTGTGTTTTTTTTTTAAGTCTTTCTCTAATGCCTGCAGGTGACAGGTGTGATAGAGTCCGAGCAGACGATCAACACCAACTTGTACTATGAAATGACGTGGGTGGACACAGCCTTGAGCTGGAACCCGCGAGACTATGGCGACTTGTCCCAGGTGGTTGTACCCTCAGCCTCGTAAGGGATGGTTTATTTTTTTAGTCTAGAGTTATTCGTCCGAACAAAAAGTAAAAATATTAGAATGTTTGGTGAAAAATAAAAGGTCCATAAAAGTAAAAATATTAGAATGTTTGGTGAAAAATAAAAGGTCCATAAAAGTAAAAATATTAGAATGTTTGGTGAAAAATAAAAGGTCCATAAAAGTAGAAATATTAGAATGTTTGGTGAAAAAGTGTAGGTCCATAAAAGTAAAAAAAAAATGGAATCTTTGGTGAAAAAGCAAAGGTCCATAAAAGTAAAAATATTAGAAAGGTGAAAAGGCAAAGGTCCATAAATGGATTACCCGAACTCCCTTGTTGCACATTATCACAAGAAAAGACATGACCATCTTCACCTTTCCATTACATAACTTTAGAAAATTGAAATGTAAATTTTTTTCGTTAAAATTAGGCAAACCTTTGCTTTTATCAACTGATCTATCTCTTAAAACTAATGTGTTTTTTGGGTGTGTGTGTGTTTTTCATGTGTTTCTACTATGCATATTTTTAAAGACGGTGCCTTTTACTTCAGTATTTATGCTTGCACGAACAATATACTGTTTTTTTTATGTAAGCTTTGTGCTTGTTTTAAAGTGGTACTTATTACAAGTTCTTTTAAAACTTTAAAAATATATTTTAGCAACTTTCAGCGAGTACCTTGTCGTAAATGCGGCACGTAATCGCTAGTCGACCACAACCCTTATCCCAACCTAAAATATGATACGTAATTTGTGTTCTGACATTATTTCTTTTCAAAACCTCCCCCCCCCTCAGAATGTGGTACCCTCTAGTCTTGGCATTGAACGCCCAGATGGAAAACATCTTCCTACTTGAAACTCCCAGAAACATGGTCCTGTTTTACAACGGCACCGTCAAGATGCTCATAATCACCGCCCTCACGACCTACTGCAACTTCGAACTGACCTTCTACCCCTTCGACACGCAGAACTGCACCATCACCATAGCGCCGTACGGGGAGGATGTGGTCCTGCACACACAGCCGTACATCATCGATGTGGTGGAACTGACGGAAGGCGTGCTGATACTGAACGGGGAGTGGTCTAGACTGAAGATAGATTTCAATGTGTTCGTCTCCAGCACAGGCGTTCAGTGTATATCTCTGTCGGTGCTCATCAAACGTGCTCCGCTGTACTACGTGCTGTGTGTGATTCTGCCATTGGTGGTGACGTCACTGCTGACCCTGGTCGTGTTCTGGATCCCGCCCGACTCTGGGGAGAAGATGTCCTTCCTGGTGTCCATCTACATGTCCACGTCGTTGTTCCTTAGTCTGATTGGGTAAGTTGTCGAGGGGAATACAAGTAAGTATAAGAACAAAATATGGAGATAATAGGGACACAGATTGTGATAATGGGCAATATATTTGGATAAAAGGGCATACGGATGAATGTGGCAACAGATTTGGATTAAAGGGCAACATGTAGATTAAAGGGAAACGTGGATAAAAGGGAACATATGTGGGTAATGGGTTACATTTGGAGATAAAAGGGCAACATATATGGATAAAAAGGAAACTTATTGTGATTAAGGACGATAAATGCGGATAAAAGGGGCAACTGTGGATAAAAGTGCAACAATATGTGGATATAAGGGCAATACATATTGATAAAAGGGCAACTTATGGGAATAAAGGGCCATACATGAGATAAGAGGGCAAGATATGAGGATAAAAGACAACATAGGGGAATAGGGGTCCCGCGAATTACAGTCGATTCTGAGATTTATATTGAGACACTCCTGGAACATCAACTCGCATAGAGTTGAGCAGGTGTTTTTTTTACGATTACTGTAAAATAATATATTAAATTATTTTTTTCTTATATAAATAAACGTTAATTAAAATTAAAAGTGTTATGAATGTTTGATTAATCTAAATTCGGACTCAAACTTTTCTCAGTCAATTCAACCGTCGAACTACACACTAATCCAAGTCTTTTAAAACCATGTCTTTTTCCAGATCCACCTTGCCGAGAAATCTAAAGAGAAGCGAACAAATCCCCAGGATGATGCTCTTCATCGTCTTCGTCACGCTCGAGTGCGTCCTGTGCATCATCGTCACGGCCTACGTCATGCGCCGTCACGTGATGGAGGAACGCCTGACGACAGGTGCCGCTGCAGACCCGGATCAAACCTCGCCTGACTCTCAAGGCGGATGCGAACGTCTGAAGGCAACATCGGGAAAACCCACAGCGCTGAAGAAGCAAAATTTGGTTTATCCTGCCGAGGTCGGGGGTTCGAATCAAGGGGGTGAAAGAGAAGGCTTGGAGAAGAAAAAGAGACAGCTGTCTTCAAAAACGCTGGACAAGATTTTTTTCACGATTTTTCTAGTCATTAGCGTGCCTTTCTATGTCCTTGTTTTCGCTGTATAAAAATATTTTATTGCAAAGTTTTATACTTTTGTACTCAACAAACTAAAACACTATTTAGTAGTTTAATCTCTGAATTCAATACACATATAGTG